ATTAATGTCCAGTACTTTCGGATTTGGTTGCTAGCAGGCTTCTGTAAGGTGGCAGGATTTTGCAAAACGGTAAACAGAAGGAATACTGTGTATTCAAATTCTGCAAAACTCACTCAGTTACCACTGTCTAAAAACACTTGCAGACTAAATTCAATAATGATCGACTTTCAGATAATTCTATTTACAGTTTCAAAACATTTGTGCCTTTGTAAAAGAAGCAGTCACGGCTCCATGACAGAAAAATAAACTGAGTGACAGAAAGTAAGCAGTTTTAATAACCTAATGAGAAGAGGAAGTAAGGAGCTTTTGATGACAAAATCAAGAGAAGCATTTTATGGAAGTGATTAAAAATGCATTCATATCACTTCACAATGTTTCAGGCATCAATATCAGTTAGAGGAGAGCTTTGTAGTGAATTCGTAAGTCCCGTTGGAAAATGATTTTCATGTAACACTTTTATTTCTTGATGAAACCACCTTATAATAAAATGCGAAAATTATTAAGAAAACTTGCACAAAGTGTGATACTTTCAAAGCTGAAAGCATCACCCATGCATTGCAAAGAGTCTTGGATAAAGTAGATTACTGCAGTGATTTCTGTAGAGTGACTAAAGATACTCATACTAAAAAAATAATAATTTGTAAATAGTTATTAAGAAACTTGAAGAGTTTGCTTATTTCATATGCCTCATCCATTTGTGATAAATATTGCAAATCATTTACAATCAGCTAGTACTTTTTAGGAAGTATACAAATCTCACATGAGAGTCAGAAAACAAAACGTAAAGCTGAGTTAAAAGCATACAAGAAAAATAAATAAATAAAAAGAAAAAAATACAGAACATTCTGTATCAGACAAGTATCTGCTATGCAGAATTAAAAAAAAAAAATCTTTATAGCTACCTCTTTTCAGTAGGGAATCTATTTCATGAACACTTTTAGATCCAAATGGTAAAATAACATGAAACTGTGATGGACTAACAACACTAGAAACCTCCACAAAAAGATAGCAGACATTTTCAGGGATCAGAGGCATAGTATCCAAGGAATAAACTTCTTCTAAATCTCTTGTAATTCCTAAAATATATGCAAAACTAATTAATATTTTTATATAAAAAAATCTGCATTTTTTGTTTCTATTAGGAAATCAAAATCTGCACATTATCTTCACGTAATAACTGCCAATTTGAAAAACAGTATGCACTAATAAAATCTAACTGCAGGAACTTAAGCAAACTATATAACATGATTTACACACAGAGGGGGGGAGGATTAAGATTTCATAAAAACACAAAATAGAAGTATTTCACAACTGCATAAAAATGTGAAACTGTTTGACAAATGAACTACTGACATTCTAGCATTAAATTTAATTACTTTGTACTTTTTGTCACTCTTGAAAAACAAAAAAAAAACAAAAATTATTTTGTTGGTTAGTTCATTAATTTATTAGGACAAAGTACATAGTGTTTACATGCCTAAGGTAGGAATGCCTATATGAATAGCCTTCAAATGAAATCTAGTTCATATTTAGTTTACACATGAATTTTAATTAGAGCTATTTATCATTTATTTGAGTTCTGAAATAGCAACAGACTTGTTAACTAATAACAACAAACCATTTATTTCTTGATGCTAATATTAAGAGATGAAAATACTTCAAATTATTCTAGCAAAAATAAATTCAATGCACATTTGCACTTCAAATAAACAAAATAAAATTTTAAACAAATTTTGATTAACTTTAATAAAAAGTAGAATTTGAAAATTGTAAAAAACACATTTAGCAGCAGACTAATATTATATGAGCATAGGTGTATTTCATATACCCTGCAGAGAAAAAATGGCAGAATATAAGCTATAAGAAAAATAAAAGATAAATATTTCCCCATTTTAATTAAATTGAAAATCTAAATAAAAGACACAGTTCTCCGTAATGGCAAATGCAAATGGACTGGATTTTGAAGTGCTATTTAGCCACTTCAGTCACAGCAGATGCAGCGGATATCCTTCAAATACGAGGGCAATCCCCCCAAAAAAGGTCTCCTAGATTTTTAGATATACAAAGAACCGTTTATTTTCTATAATTGCTACATCACTTTAAAATTGCAGAATGCTTTATTTTTCAACATAATCACCATTTTGGTCGATGCATTTTTGTAGACGCTGTGGCAGTTTTACAATGCCCATGTCATACCAGCTTGCCGCCATGCCCTTCAGGAAGCGTTGAGGAGCTTCAGGAGCATCCAGATGATCCTCCGATCTTTACGCATTTTACGAACTCAACAATCGCAAAAGTCTAACGAATACGAACTCAACAATCGCGAAAGTTGAGTTCCTCAACTTTTGACTTGTTGGCAATTGACGGCCTCCCGCTCCTTTCTTCGTCATGAATTTCAGTACGACCGACCGGCTGTAAACTCTCTACACCACTTGCGAACGTTTTTGACATCCATGCACGACTGTCCATACACTTCTGTCAATAGGCGGTGAATTTCAACCGGTTTAATGGTTTTTTGCATTCAAAAATTGAATAACTGCGCGCACTTCGCACTTGGTGGTAAATTTATCGGGAGCTCCATTTCGAATGGCTGCCAAGCCAAGACTGAGCATCCGAGCGAAGCACCTGCGTGCTTATGTGGTAGCGGAGAAGGCACCACTCACAACAGTGTTGCCAACAACAGTATTAAAACTTTCTCTACGTCCCCAAAAAATAGAAGACCTTTTTTTTTGGGGATTGCCCTCGTATTTCCCAAAAACTACAGTCTATGGTAAGGTGTGGTAACATGCTTAGGTACACCCTTCAATGATCTATCTGGTTCATTGGAGCTGCACTTTGGAGAGAAGTGTTTAAAAGAATATAGCAGGCTTTAAAATCTTGATCTTATCAAATGAAGCCCATGGATGTTCAAATGCTGTCTCATCTCATTTCTTTTAACTGACCAACAGAAACAATGGAAATACTTCTCCTTCTGTACTTCATCGATTGCATCTGGGATAATGAGATAGAAAAAATGCTATGAATAGCAGATCTCAACAATCTAAAAGGTGCTTTAGTATATGACATGAAATTTGAGGCAGCCCAGCAAGCTACCCCAGCAGACCCAATCAGAGCTGCTCATATCCAGGAACCAGAGGAGCAAATGACTGCTTGTCTAGTAGATTTAACCAAACAAGTCAAAGCCTTGACATGAAATAGGAGTGGTAACAAATCACCCTTAAGTGCTGGAACTGTGGTGGTGAAGGCCAGATTAGAAGGAACTGAAGAACATGTTACCATTATTCGGAAAGATTAAGCTCAACAGTTGGAAGGTAAACTTATCTGGACACCACCCTGCATTACCCTCCAGACTATATCCAGTGATAAAATCAAAACTTGATGGAAAGTTAAACATTAACATGACATTTGTGAGCATTGCCTACTATTACATGGCATATGTAACAGATATTCTGAAGAAATATAATTCTTCCTTGAACTAGGAATAACGAAACTGTATTCTGCCTATGAGGCCATAACCTGGTTTGGAATTAAAGATGAAGGAGTTAAATCTGTCCACCATATCATAGCTCAAGACGATATCACAGTACCAGCAAGAACAGAATTCATACTTCCTGGATTCATAGCTGAAAATAGAAATTTCTGGTATGGCATCATGAAATATTCCAAGAGTTGTAACAACTCAAAACGAGCACTAGTAGCCTCGGTACTCGTCGACCTATCGAGGACCATTATCTTGGTGAGATTGCCAATGTCAGTGGTAAAGTCAAAATCATTAGGAAAGGCAAAGTAGCTGCAGCATGTACTTCAGTGACATGTGTCCACCAAAATATGTGTCTTCAGAGACTCTAATATCGGAGTTATTGCATAATGCTCAACTAAACAATGAAGAGAGAAGAGCTGCCGACTATGTAATTCAAGAATTTCACGATGCTTCTCCTATTCTTCTTATGACATAAGTCAAGCCAGTTTCACACAACACAGATTTAATACAGTGGATCATCCATCAATCAAGTAACATCCAAGACATCTACCAGTTGCTAAACAGGAAGAAGTAAGAAAACTTCTAAAGGATATGCAAGAAAGTGGCATTGTTGAGCCTTCAGCAAGGATGATTCAACTAGATTTTGTGTTGACTATCACCGGTTGAATGACATTACGAAGAAAGACAGATATCCTCTTCATAGAATTGACGACATTTTTTTTGGCCACTCTTTCTGAAAGCAAGTAGTTTTTAACACTTGATTTAAAAAGTAGATATTGACAGGTAGAGATACATCCTGAAGACCAAGAAAAGATGGCATTTATTACAGGACAAGGACTTTGGCAGTTTAAGGTGATACTGTTTGGATTATGTAATGCACCAATATTTGAATGCCTCGTGCAGACCATGTTGAGAGGTCTTTCCTACGAAGCCTGTCTGATATACCTTGATGACATCATCATCACCGGGAAGAGCTATGAAGAACATTTAGAAAATAATACAAAGGTGCCTCAGCAATTGAAAGAAGCCAATCTAAAATTAAGCCCCAGCAAATCTCAACTGTTCAGACAGGAAGGGACTTAACACAGACCTGTCATCCATGTGGAAGTCATGTGTACAGATCTAAAGAAAGTGTCAGCAGTCAAAGACTAGAGATGCTCCGAAAATGTTCATCAGCTGAGAAATTCCTTGGGGCTCCATACCTACTACAGGAGACTTCTAAAGAACTTTTCTTACATCACAAGACCCCTTAACAAGCTGACAGAGAGCAAGCGAAAGTTTTTATGGACAAAAGGAACCGTTATTGGAAGTGATCATCATGTGGAAATTCCACAACCTGCACAGAAAGCTGCCAATAATGTTCCTGGGTCAAAGCGAAATATAAGCAGCTTAATCTTGTCGTATGTCAAGTTAAGAATTCAACCTCGTCTGACCCAGGCCCATGGAGTGATGAAGAAATCAGGAAAGAACAGTTGGCGGATGGCAAGATTGAACCCATAACTAATTTAATGGAACTTTAAATGGAAAAACAAACTGGTAGGACATTTCGATCTACAAACCTACAACAAAACAATACTGGGCTTCCTGGAATTCACTCCATATTCGAAACACCGTATTGTACTGAAAGTTCGTATTCGATAATGGGAAAGCTTTACAGTGGCAGCTCATGCTTCCAAGATAATGGACGTTCTTAAAGAACTACACAGCAGCCCTATAGGAGGCCACTTCTGAATAACGAAGTCACTGCACAGAGTTCGAGAGTGCTTCTATTGCAATAATGCAATGGTTGACATGCAAAAGCAGTGCCAATCTTTCAAAGTTGAGTGGGTTAGAAAGAACAAAAGAAATGCAGCCGAGGGAAGATGCAGTGTTACAGTGTAGGAGTACTTTTTGAACGCATTTCCTTTGACATCCAGGGACTTCTACCTCAAACTACTGGTAGCAATAAATACATTCTCTGTTGTCATAGATTACTTCACAAAGTGTCCTGAAGCATATTCTATACCTATCAAGCGGCTGTTATGGTAGCAGATGTAATGATACAACACTGGATTTCCAGGTTCAGAGTGCCTCTTCAGTTACATTTCGATCAGGAAAGGAATTTTACCTCATCAGTAATTAATGAAGTCTGTAAGCTACTTGGCATCGACAAAACCAAAATACCACCTTTGCATCCCTAGTCAGACGACATGATAGAAAGGTTTAATTGAGCCATCTTTAATAAACTTTCGCTGGTGGTTTCCAGAAACCAACAGGGCTGAGACAAAAAGTTATCTCTGTTTTTACTGGCCAATCACAGTGTTGTTATCGAGACTACTGTCTATTACCCATTCAAGATGCTCTTCAGTCATGACCTTTACCTGCCTAGTGATCTCTTATTTGGTCGCCCTCCAGATGCACCTTCAATGCTAGAGGAGTACATCCAAGATCTCCAGGCATGGTTTGAAGTGATACACAATTCTGCATGAAAGTGAGTCGATTTGGCAATGTAGAAGATGAAGATCCGATACATCACAAAAGCTACAGAATATCTATTCAATAAAGGTGAAAGTGTGGTTATGGAATCCCGTTTGATGGAAAGGACTTTCTTCTCAACTACAGACACCTTGAAATGATCCTTACACAGTCCTAAATAGGCTGAACAATGTCATAGTTTTAATTCACAAGTCATCTAATTCTAAACCTAAAGTCATTCGTTATGACAGGTTAGCCCCTTACTATGACCATAATACATAGTCTCTCAAAATGCATATAATGCGAATAGTATACTAAGACCATGATCCTATCTGTTTCTAAATTTGTAAATTTATGGATTTACATTATCCGGCCAAATGTTATTGGACAGCTCCCCTAAAGAAATACATCTGTCAGGTGATGTAATTTGATGTGTAACTGAAAGCTATAAAAGTGTTAGCAGTGGTTTGTCAGGTCACTAAGCATATGTGAGACAATGTGTTAAGTCAAAGGAGTTTAGGAGTTTAGTGATGGCGGCAATATAGAGGACGCATCTGGGTTTGGCGGATGACCAGTGAGTGCTTCTATGACTGCATTGTGCAGACTGTAAAGTTTGGTGATGTGGTGTTTTTCATGGTTTCACATCACAGTGCAGTTAGAAACATGAATTCTCAGATGTATGAGGATATTCTGGACAATGCTGCTGTCTCAACTCTACAGCATTATTTCAGAGAAGGCCCATTTCTTTTCCAGCAGGATAACTGTTCCATTCACACATTAAGACTTGTGCAGTCATCATTTGATAAAACGGGTGTTCAAAAACAGGACTGGCCTTCTGACAGCCCTGATCTAAATACCATAGAAGAAAACCTTTGGGTTGAAATAGAATGCAGATTACGTAGCTAACCAAATCAACCATCCTCACTACCAGTTCTCACTTCACTTGTGATGGATGCTTGGAAGTCAATTCCAATGGCCATTTATCAAAAACTGAGTGAAAGTCTCCCCAGACATGTGCAGGCTGTCACGGAAGCAAAATGGGGACTAACATCATATTAATACAATGTACGTCCAGAAAGTAAGTTCCGTTTGGTAATAAAAGTAAATTGTGTACAGCTACAGAAAAGTTATTTATTGCACAAAATTCAACTTTTTCCACATAACTGCCGAAATATTGCAGGCATTTGTCATAGCGTGCACAAGTTTTGTATACCTTCTTAATAGAAATTTTGCCGCCTGTGTCTTCAACCAGTTGGAAACAGTTTCTTCAGCTCGTCGTCATGTAAGGTTGACTGCCAGAAAAGACTTAAGATTAGACATGAAAGTCACTAGGAGCGAGGTCAGGGCGTACGGAGGATGTCAAACACGTCCCAGCCAATCCTTGTAGAGGTTTTTCGTCACTTTGCGGTGTGGTCATGCGTTTCGTGAAGAAAAACACACCTTTTGACAGCACCTCGGCACTTATTCGTATTGCGCTGCGCAATTTCCGAAGTGTCTCGCAATAAGCATCTGCTCCGATTGTTGACCAGCGGTAAGAATCAATGAGTAAGATGCCTTTTCAGCCAGAACACTGTGTTTCATTTTCGAGGTGTCAAGATTTGCTTCAGCTTAACTTTGCTGGGGATGAAGGTGCCCCATTCCATTGATTGCCGCTTACTTCAGGGGTGTCTAAGAAACCCAAGTTTCATCCTGGACTATCTGTCAGAAATTCTTCGCCGCTTTCAGAATAACGGGTCAAAAACTGAAGTGCACTATCCTCCGTTGTTTTGTGTGCTCAGTAAAGGATCTTTGGTACCCAACGTGAGCAAAGTTTATGAAATTTCATTTTCGTAACAATTTCATGCATAGTGATCGTGAAATGGAGAAAATTCCATAGCGAGAGCACAATGTAAACCTTCGGTTTCATGGATCTTGTCATCAATGTGTGAACCATCTTCTGTAACCAAGATGGATGCCCTTCGTTCTCATTGTGACATAACACGTCCGTCATTGAACTTTCGACCCTTTCTACCATGAAATCACTCACGCGTTTGGTCCGTAAAATCGCAAATTGCCGATAATTTCACTTCTCGCTTAGAAACAATCACAGATCTATGTCACAAGCCGCTGGATTTTCAACAACACCGACATTGTAACAAGCACAACAAGAGTACGTGACTGACAGCGATCTCCAAAGGTGCCGTTTCTTCTCCGGGATAAGAAGTATACTGCGCATGTGCGGAACTGCGATCGCGGAGCTGCAGCGGAGTTAAATTGAAACGGAACTTACTTTCTGGACGTGCCTCGTATACGCCTCAGGACTCTCCAAGTCTATACCACTGAGTGTCTGTAGTCTATTTATTGATTTGTTTTATGTTGGGCGCGGTAGTGTATTTATTGATTTGTTTTATGCTATTTACTGAAATTGTTTTAGTATTGCAATAATTTTCCTTAGCTGTAAATATGGCTTTCTGTCCATGGACCAGATAATATGTTTCGGGGGGGGGGGAGAAGGAGAGAGAGAGAGACATGAGGAATATTCATTTATCAAGTTGACTGACTGATGATATTTAAAGACTGAAAGCATTTTCAGTTGCTCTGGATAACAGCACCTTTTGCCTCCTAGCACAACTAACAATGGCGGATTCCAGCACCACAGAGGAATTGTTGGCACTTCAGCCAATAAAAGGAATAACTACCAGTGAAGACATATTTGAAGCAGTCAATACAGTTTCCTATAGAGTTGGGTGTGTGTTTATTGTTTTGTTCCTTGTCAAGGACTGCATGACACGGTGATTACCCAGGTGATGCAGTCCTTGAAAAAGGGGCAATGTTATGAATTTTGTACATATATAAATAGTTTTAGTGAAATTATTGTATTTTTTGTATAATGTAATATAAAAATTTAAAGCAACGATGCTTTGTAAGGGCAAGACTTTTTAACAGTGAGAAAATGGCTATCTCACTAGGTCAGCGAGATGTCAACAAGCTGACGATGCTTTTACCAACTAATTTTTTTTGCCAAATTTGTGAGAAATCTCCAAAAGACACTACTCCTAGCGGCAATCTGGTGACATTTTGGTCCAGCCCCTGTATATCTGTAATTAATCTATATATATATATATATAGCTTTACTATATCTTGCCCGCATATGCCTTCCAGTAATTCCAAGAAGTAGTAGTAATTTCTGGGGAGTCAGGGGAAAAAAGACCAGAGAGAGTATCTACTTTCAGTTGTTAGCTCAGAGTTGAGTATGAAGTACTGAGACATCTCTATGTTAGCTTTGCCTATTAGATGCAATTTTCACTGAGCTATGTTTAATGTTCCTAGCAGTTTGAAATGTAATTATCAATTGTACTTTGTGGTACTGTGAAGAACTGTGCGAGTACTTTTGTGGAAAGTTCCAGAACTGTGAAGTGTTTCTTTTGGTAAAATAAATTTTATCAAGCTATCATCAATTCTGTATGTATTTAATCTATTATGAACCTTTATTCATGCTACAATACTTTATTTATACAATTACTAAATCCATGAATAAACTATGATTATCACCAGAAAAATTCTAATCCTCCTAATGAATTATATAATAATTCACATGATAGACAAAACCCAATGGCAATTCACATATGAATAAAATTTTGAAATATAGTTTATGAATTTATTTAAAGAAAAAATGCTTTATTTTAGATGAATGCTGCCTTCTACAAGTAACAAGAAGAAAATAAAAGCATCAAATGCATCTTATCTAATAATACAAGTAATTACTAGCTAATAAGAAAGCAACTTACCAGTCTCTGCCACTGGGACATGTAAATATGGGCAGTTATTACCTCGTGGACAATGTCCTCGTAAAGAAAAATATTTGCATGTATAGCTGTCATCATTAAATTCTAAAATAATTAAAGAAACTTATTTTTACTGCATATAGTATCTACATAAAAATTAATGTACAAACTTAGTTAACATTGCTACAAAACAAAAAATAATAAAGATTAAACAAAAAATAATAAGAGCTGATTAACATTACTACAAAACAAAAAATAATAAAATAGACTGATTTTACATATCACAATAAAAGATTAAGAAGAATCTTGACCTATGAAGTACTCAAATGGATGGGGTGGGGAGGAGAGAGAGATGAAAATTTATATTCTGAACTACACAGAGCTGATTAACATTGCTACAAAACAAAAATTAATAAAATAGACTGATTTTACATATCACATTTGAAAATATAAAAATGTACATGCTGTTTATTTATAATGCTTTTCACATTTTTTCATGAGATTTACAAAAAAAAAAAAAAAAAAAAAAAAAAAAAAAAAAAAAAAAAGATTCCTATAGATATTTGGAAATAGATTCTTTCATATTCATAAAAGTGAAATATTGATAGTAATACACTTTGCAGTTTGGAATAGGTTCTGAAAAACACTAAAGCCCTTCCCAAGTCCCATGACTGAACACAATATCTGATTTATTATTCCACAGATAACTTTTGAAAGCCAATGTTTTGCAGTTTATTCTTGGCCAATTGAAAATCATAGTTTATCCCTGAAAAGTTGAAAAAAAATTGTATACTGGAAATAAATAGCATTAAAAACTAAAGAAACATATTATAAAATACTATGACATTCTCTGCTATCACTGTCATTATACTGTGCAATATTTTTTTTTTTTTTTCCTGTATTTCTGCACATCAAAAACATTTTTAGTTCAAAAAATTTTGTTTTGCAATTTTGCGTCAAATCACTCTGAATGTCCCTTTCACTTTTCAAACTATTGCCACCAAATATTATCGCCATGTATTATATTTTAGGAAATTAAATAATGAAGAATCTGCATAAATGTATGTACATTTCTTGCACTGTGATAAAACACGGGTACCTAGAGCCATCAAATTTTGAATGACGTAATGCTACTGCGAATATGGGCATCTGGAAGCCCAAATTTAAAATTTGTTTTATAACTGCCTTCAGATTTTGTAAAATTTTAATGAATTTTTGACTAACAAACTCAAGGATTTCAAAGCGAGCAATGGCAACTTTGTACAGAAAAATATTTTTATCTCCAGCACACAAGACTGTGTATTGGAAATAAATTCTAAAGATATGCTCTTTTTAAATTATTTTGCGATATTGCTGTTTATCTGAATTTCATGGTTTAAGTGCAAAGAACATGATATTTAATAAATAAAGGTAACACACAAAACGTTAAAAAAAAGTGTCCCTTTGGACATAATTTAAAATCTGAAACATTCTAGATTTTGTCTTTTTTATGTTGTTGTTTGTAACAGTAATTTTTCAACTGTTTGCAATAGACTTTTTTTGTGGGGAGGAGAGACAAGTTCTGTACTTTCTAGATAGTTACAAGGCCTGAGTACAAAAGTGTGACATCACAGAGGCCAGTTGCTCGTGATTCCACTCATTCTTCCCTATTTTGCTTGTTAATTTACTTAGCTCTTGCATTTTTCCTGTTTGCTTCCCTTAATATTTATGATTTAGAAAAAATTCACACAGTAAAATTTTAAACTTAAATCTTGAATATTATTCCAGGCAGACTCGAAGATTTCTTTGTTTTCAATTGCATTGTAAAGGTTAAGAAATGAAAATTGACAAATAAATTTGATTTTTAATTTTCTCTCTTTACTGCTTTTTATTACTAGATGATTAATAAAATCTGATCTTTAATTTTTTGCTAGAATACAACTGAAAGAATTTATATTAGATTTTCTTAGTCTGTTGACTAAACGGATGACATTTTTTTTTTTTTGGATAAAGTATAACGTTATGAAATACATGTCCACAATTTCAGATTTCATAATGATATAAAATTCAAAACAAAGTTTATTCAAATTAAATTTTAAATTGATATTAATTTGTGCAATTTATTATTAAATGAAACTAAAATTGATTTTTATTATTTTGCCATTGTTCTCTTTTAACCTTTTTTATTTCAAACTTGATATTCTAATTTAAAAGGCAGTGCTTGCTTTTGGGGGAAAAAAAAAAAAAAAAGTCATCTTTTCCAGTGCTTAAAAATTGATACACTGTTACACTTTATAAAAATAATGAACAGTAGTTTATTATCAAAGGTAAGTAATTTTTTGTATTAAATTAAATAAGTAATTAAATATTAATGAACTAAATATAAATGCATGTCATAAACTACTGTAAACAGTCGCCCAGACGGTATAGTGGTTATGGTTAGGGAAGCCTACTTCGGTAACAAAGGGCCCGGAGAAGACACGGACGTTTCTAAATGTATAGTGTTGGTGCGGCATCGCAGTACTCAAAATATGTGGTGAACCGAAAGTCCTCTTGTGTGGATTAGTGGGAGAGGAGAGGAGTGGGGGACCTCTGAATCACCCCTGGGATACTCTCCCTCAAAATTGGGGGTGGAAAAATAGAAGTCCAACCTCTCTTTGGAGTAGGCTCTGGCAACTATCGTTCCATGTAATATGGACACGACAACAAACTGTAAACAATTTTTGTCAGTAATAACCAAAAGAAAAATTAATTACATTTTTTTAAATAATCATTAGGTCAAGTAAAAAATTATCAGAAGTTAAGAAAAGGAAATAAAAATTTGCACAAATAAAGAGGCTATACATGAAAGGAAATGAAACTTTTATTCAACAAATGCATGAAAAGAAATTAAACTTTATGTCCATTCCAATAATGTATTTTAATCGAGTCATCAAAATATATATAAATGAACAATGTCCTTTCCGGCATATATTGTCATCAAATATGTTGTAGTTGATCAAATATGTTGTTGATAGTTTCATTAAATCCTAGAAAGATTCCTTAAAACATAATCAGTTAAAAATCCACATTTAGAATAAACCTTTTAATATACTTACTGTTCAGGCCTCTTTGCATTTACTAAATTAAAAAAATTTAGTGTTTGATTTTAAGTTTTTGCAATAAAATCCTTTTCCCTATTTTGCCAAAAGTATATGAATGAAGGATACTTTGGAAGATATGAATGAAATGGATGATATTTTGGATGATATGATGGGATACATTAGATTATTTGAATGAAAGATACATAAGAAAAATTAAATGCTGTTCAAGGAATTTACTGTTATTTCATCCTAGTTTTTTGTAGTATCATGTCTGAATATCAGTAATTTTCTCATTTTCTGTTTATTTGCTCATTAATTTTTGTGGCATATTTGTCATCATTTACGACTATTTAAATTACATACATAGTTATCCTTAATTTATTATTATTTAGCATTTATTTTTATATTTTATTTTAATAACTCACACTTGAGAAACAAGTGTCTGGGGATTTCTGAAAAAGAAAAAATTTACACACAGTATTTTATTTTTATTTGCTCTTAATTTCTGAACAACTTTCCATACATAAAAAATTTTAATTTAAAATTAGACTCTGAATGCTAAACAGAATCTGAATTTAGAGAGCGAAAGTATGGTAAAAATGTGAAAATTACATATTAATTGCTGAATTACTGTGGAAGAAGCATACTACTGCTTCGCATCGGTCTTCTGTTCGTGGTGTTACTAACCAGTCAGCTGCTCATGCTCAGGCCTTATTCTTCAAGATGGTGTTGACAAGGTGCAGATAATGTGAAATCTGTTAATTAGGATCTGAATGTGCTTTCAGCTGATTTATATCATTATTTCAGCTGATTTTCACCGTATATGTCAGATAAATATATACAGCTGAATTCCATTCACCGTATGTTTCTGCCAAAAACACTAGTCAGCCAATAACTGATTATAAACACACGATCATAGCCCTAAAATAATTAAATACCTTATCAATAACAGAAAAGGAAGACTCTTTATCAAGTGACAAAACTCTTAAATACGAGATTATTGCAAGAAAAATATTAAGGGTGCAAAGAATAGTATGGATTCTATTCTTTTTTAAGCATTTTAGGAAGAATAATTGAAGAGTGTTCTGTCTAATATTAAATATTTCACTAAATTCAAGTAAAGATATTGGAAATATAAATTCTTTTCTTTCCTTTGAGGATGGGGAGAAAGGTAGTTATAATGGAATTAAATCCATATAGTATATTAGAATAGAATTTATAATTTTATTATTAAATTTAGAAAAATGGTAAATAAAATAGCAATATAATTTACTTTGTCCTGATATAGCTACTTCCAGATCATCCATATCGACACCATAACTATTTTCTATGTCATTATATTCTTCAGACAAAGGATCCCAAGAATCCAGATCATTTATTCCTAGAAGAATAAATAAATAAATAAAATCATTAATCAGTAAAAAAACACTTATATCAGATGTTATTTAATACAAACACACACATAGAATTATAAATATGAAATATTTTAGATGAAAAGTTGGTGGCATAGTAAATTCGTAAAGAAGCTCACAGCCATGACCGATTTAAATATTCCTTTTTATTTATTTATTTTTTGACAAACATTTTCATAAGCTAAGACAAATTGCCACAGTAAGCACTTGTTCTTGTAAAACTACTCTAGCATTGATAGAATTTTAAATACAATTGAAGTAGTAAGCATTAACAAGTTTGCAGGACAGAAGTAAGCAGGGTTGCCACTCAAACAGGAGAATGAAATTCCCTGACTTTTCCAGGTTTTCCAGGTGCGTTTCAAGAAAATTCCAGTCTATCCGCGTAATGTACGTTGGCTACGCTAAGAGGTAAATTATGGGGATTACTTGTATTGTGTAGCAAATTCACTTAATTATCAATAAATCCCAGAGGACATTTATTCTTATTATTCTTGGTTATACTTTGTTTGATAATTTGTTTACTTTTCCACTAAGAAACTTAATAAAAATTTAAGATATATACATTGGATAATAAATGTAGTTTTATTTAATTATTACTCATGATCATCACCAGTTCAACACGAGGCAATCCGGTCCTTATAAATCACAATGCAATGCTAAATAGTTAGGTTAGATTTAGGTAAATTTAATTTGTGTGAGGATGTTCTAAAAAGCACCTTAACACTTGAAAACACAAATATATTATAATAGTTGTGTTTCTCCATTGAAGATTGAGATTAGAATCTTCCCAATCTGGAATAAAATAAGGCTTTTTTTGCAGACATTCTGCAGCTAAACGAAAGAAAGAAATCTATTTTAATAAATTGAGGTATTTATAATTTAGTTCGCAGCATACATAAGAAAAAAATATGTGCATTAAATTTCGTGATGGTATGTCATCATACTGCTAGAATTAATTTCAAGATTATGCCAGAAAATTCCTGAAATTTAGAAATATTATTTACTAATAATTAATAAATTTAGAGGAAGAAGCATCATTAAATTATACGAATAACATAAAAATAAAGATAATTACTTAAAAATTGAATTAGAATAATCAACGATATTTTAGCGAAATAGATATATTACATGGTTAGCCTAGATGACAGATTACTATTTTTTATTTTACTGCAAAATGGCAAGGTATTATTAAAAAGAAAAGTTTTAAAAAGATTTGCGGTAAATTCTAGTATACGGTAAGGCTTTGGCACGATTTTGAAAACTGTCGCCAAGACCAAAATGACCCGTTTTACTGCGCATCATCATGTCGCCAAATCCATACATGGAGATTATTTTAACCAAAAAACGTCTATGCAAGAATCTCTAATTCTTTGGTCTATGTAAAGAAGAAAATTTTCCATACAAGTAAAATGCTATTACGCCGCTAGAATGCGGAGGGAAAATTTGCCAAGGGATTTGGCGACGGAACCTGGCGGCCAGAATTTCCCTCTCCGCGATGCGTACCGGAAATTGAGAAACGTGTTAAGAAGTAACGTTCTTTGACAAAAAGAAAGCTACGAAAATCCGTTTTTAAATTATTCCGAAAAATCCAAGCGTAGTTTCCCCCTCCCCCCTGAAAATTACTAACCTATGAATTAATTTACTTGCGTCAAAAAATATTTTCTTTTAACTTAGAGTTTAACTACTTGCGCTAAGACTAAACTTCACGGTTGCGGTGCCGTGCGCTACAATATAGCAAGTGTCTCATTTACGCCGCTCCGCATTTGCGAGTGCAATCCAGAGCTGTAACTCGAGAAATAAACAATCTCGTTGTTAGGCGACGTGTGCACCATGTTATTTTCATTTTTGCGATAAATGCTTATCGACGTGGTGTTCACGTCGCTCGCAGTTTGAAACAAAAACATCTCAACGTGCGTGGCACGTCTTTTTAGCGCAAGTGGTTAAAGAAATTTTAAAGGATATTCATTTAATGAACTCTTGATAACGTGACCTTCGAACTTCGACACCGGTTTCCAGCTTTGGCGGCAGATATATCACGCATGAACAGCTGTTTCCCTTTATGATGGAACGGAGCCACGTCTGTTGCAGAGAGGTTTTCCTTCTTTACAATGCATATTCTTTGATTCTAACCTCCATGGTACCGTATACTAAGATTATTAACCCATTGTGTTTATACGAGAACAGGTACTTTCTTTAGTTCATGCACGCACATGCGATTCTCGAGAATACTGGAACCTAAAGTTGCGGGGAAACTTGCTTTGCCTTTCTAAAAGGCAATCAAATTGGAGCCTGCGAAAATTGGCTCTATGCCAGCAGACATCACGTGATAGGCAATTCGCCAAAAAAGTTATCTCTTCCGACGTCGGCGCAAAAATCGCTTTTTTTTGGCGGGATCATCGTATGAACTTCCCTGACTTTTCCAGATTTTGACAAAAATACTTAAATTCCCTGACTTTTCCCTGAATATTTTGGTCAATTTTCGAATTCCCTGACTTTTCCCGGTTTTCCAGGTAGCGTGGCAACCCTGAGTAAGAGTAAAAATGTGATGCATTCAAAATGAAAGCCTGGAACAGAAAACAAATGTTATGGTTTCCAAATGAGTTAGTTTTAATTCCGAAGCACTGTGATTGGGTAATTACTGATTCTCTAAAATTATTATTGAGTGAAGGCTTATGTAAGTTATCTGCATCATGAACTTTATGTAAGAGTCATATGATGACTATTAATTTTGAAATGATGCAATTTAGAGAGGTTTGCTATTTGCAAATGCTATTTTTGGGATAGCAAGCAGAGATATCCCAATTAAAATAGAGCTAAGATATTATGGAAAATTAGTTAGAATTTTGATTTATATTTTCTTATCTTAAATACATACTTGTAATACCATTCTAAAAATAAAATAGATCCCTAAGTAGTATGCATTATTACTAAACATGAATTAATTACCATAATTGTTAATAAGGTTGAGAATAAAATAAACTTTATACAATTTATCAAGTAGCATTAAATATTTTACACTTATAATAGTTGGTCATATTTGAAAGAAGATAACTGACATTTACATTTTACTAAAAGTTAGCTTTATGTTGATTTTTTTTATTTCTTTTTTCGTCAGATACTTGGTCAGTCTAGAGGTTTAGTAAATAAGCAGGTAGATTTAATGTCAAATTGCATAGGTTTAAAATAAGAAGTAAGATCATAATCAGCATGATTCATAACAAAAGACTGAATGTTGCCAGGGCTGCTGCTTGTCTAGAGAGAGACCTGCTGATTAGAACAAACCTGAAAGGCCTGATGTAGGCAAGATTGGCAAGTGTTGAAAGTTAGGCTCTGTTTGATGCAGTTAGTGTTGTAGCTTTGCATACAGTTCCAGGGGATTGTAAAGCTCCAATACGCCATTAAAGCACCAGAGGTGATAAGTTGTTTTGTATTATTTGCTAAGTCTCAAGTCTACTAAGTCTGTTTTGCTAAGTCTCAGTAGGTGCATAGAATATGTTTAACTTGAGTTTTTACATTTTTACATTTTATCTTGTGATCACAGTGAGTATTAATAAATGGCAATAACTCACTTTAATACGTAGAGATAATTTTTAAGGGTAAGCAGTTAATTATAAATAATTAAATTAGGTAGTTTAATAACCTTAGTCATTATGGATTTACATGACCACTATTAAATTTTATTTTTTAACAATATTTGTTAAAAAAGCCCTATTAAAATCAAAATCTAATAAAATTTCACAGTTTAAAATACATGTAATTTATAACACATTCTTAAACGATATTAAGATAATTACACAGTAAAAGCTACAAAACATTTATGTTTTCTAACAACAGCAGTCAACAAAATATTTATCTGTCATTTTAATTTGAAGTCTTCCCAGACATTTTGTGCAGTTTATATCGATTTCCTTCTCTTTAAAGCATTTTTGTCTAACAATTAGAGATTTGCCTCAATATGCAAACCAATTCTCTGGCTAGTTTCTGCGTGCTTTATCTCCTAACTTGTCAACCTCTCCACAATGGAACTATGAGGGTTTAATTGATCTCATAAAAGTTAAATAGTCCAAAACCCCCAACAGACATGAAGCATATTATCGCTATGTCTGAAATTACAGTACCAAAGAAAGGTTTAAATAAGCCCCTTATTTAAAAAGAACTTAGAACATAAAGGCATGTTCTGATGCTAACAAAATCAGTTACAGCTCATGGTGTCGTAATTAAACAAGAACAGTCAAATTCAAGCTAATAATATGGACTAATGGGTCAAAGATTATACAATTTAATTTTAATTTAATCTGGCTTGATAACTCTAACATATGAGGAAATAGAAATGGGAAATTATAGTAAAGGTTGAAATCATAAACAATTGGGTAATTTACATAATAACTGCACATATCTTTGAAGAATAATTTCCTTTATGTATTCGGTTTCTTTCTTCAACATGTTTCCTTTTTATTTTAGAATTTTTGGATTTAATGAAGGATTTCTGTTATTCTAAAAAACACTAAATGCATTTAGAATGCACAGCGGCTAATTTTATTTCTTTAGTAATATGAACATTCAGAAGCAATATGAAATATACGGTAAAAGCCGGTTACAGAGCTGATGTGGAAGAATTTCTAGAATTTAGTGACACACCGAACAACAAAATCTAGAAATGGCAAAACTTTTAGAATTTAGAGCAGGCATTGGAAGCAGAATTTAGAAGGCAACAGGCAGCAGAATTTAGGATTTAGAGAGATTGTATCAGTTGGGAAAAAATAAGATCAGAAGCATTTTTGATATTTTCCATGCTTCTGTCTGGTGAAAAGTAGAGAAAATAACGAGAAGATAAACATGTTAAGATTCTAGTATCAGAAGTAAAAACATTCAAATATTATGTTTTCATTGTTCTTCCAGATGTTCTCCAAGAATTAAGAAATTCATTGCGAACTTTCTGTAAAATACATCCATTACACGTTGATACTAT